AGGCAGAACGTGCTCAGCACTCAGACAGATGCCATGAGTAGAAAGTTCTCTCAGTTCCCCTTCCAGGTTCTGCTCATGATGGCATCAGACTCCACTAACCAATAGGAAAAGGTTTTTCTTACTACCACTGTGTCCTGCACTCAGTGCTCCCACCAGGAATTCTTCCCGTCTTGTTCACACCTGGATTTCTACCCATTAATCCATTCCTTTTTTTGTTGTTCAATTAACCCTTGAGATTTTTCTTGCTTGTTGCTGACACACCGCCCATGAGCAGCAAAGCTCTGGTGCACAAAGGAAATGACAGCCACAGCTCTGCTGCAGCACCTCCTGACACAGCCCAAGCCCTCCCCAATGTGTGGCTGCTCAGGGGTGAGTTCTGGGCCCTCACTGTTATTAAACTCTACTACTCTTCTCTTGTGAGACCCACCTGGAGTGCTGCACACAGTTCTGGTGTCCCCAACATGAGAAGGACATGGAACTGTTGGAGGAAGTCCAAAGGAGGTCACTAAGCTGGAAAAAGAACTCTAGCACCTTCCCTACTCCAGGCTGAGGAAGTTGGGCCTGTTCAGCCTGGAGAAGGTTGTATGGGAAACTCAGAGCAACCTGCCAGGATCTGAAGGGGCTCCAGGGAAGCTGGAGATGGAACCTTTGTCAGGAATTGGAATGGTAAGACAAGGAGTAATGGAGAGAAATTGAAAGAAGGAAATTTAGATGAGATATTAAGAAGTTTTTTCCTGTGAGGGTGGTGAGACACTGGCACAGGTTGCCCAGGGAGGCTGTGCATGCCCCAACCCTGGCAGTGTTCAAAAACAGGTTGGATAAAGCCTTGATCAACCCTGTCTGGTGGGAGGTGTCCCTGCCCAGGGCAGGGAATTGGGACTAGATGATCTCTAAGGACCATTCCAGCCCCCTAACATACTATGAAACTGCCGTAAAAACACTGCAATGTGCTCAGAGTCACATCATAACATCCTCTGTAATGGCCCAGAGACTCACCACCTGGGTGTTATCTCAAGATCTCTGCAACAGCACATGCTCTGCGCTTCTCCAAGCAGGCACAACATTTGCAAACTGATTATTTAGCCTCAGCAACACACAATTTCTACAAGCCAATATTCCTGCACACAGATCCACCTGGACAGGTCACAGAGTGCAGATGTGCGAAGGTCAGACCGCTGGGAAGGAGAAGAGAAGGTTGTGTGGAGACCCCAGAGCTTCTTCCAGAATCTGAAGGGGCTACAAGGGAGTCAGAGAGGAACTATGCATCTGCAGCTGGAGAGACAGGACGAGGAATGGCTTCAAACTGAAAGGGGGGAAATTTAAGTTAGATATTGGGCAGAAATTGTTCCCTGTGAGAGTGCAGAGGCACTGGCACAGGTTGCCCAGAGCAACTCTGGTTGCCCCATCCCTGAAAGTGTTCAAGGCTAGGTTGGATGGGGCTTGGAGCAACCTGGTCTAGTGGAAGGTGTCCCTGCCCATAGCAGAGGGTGGAACTGGCTGATCTTTAAGGTCCTTCCAACCCAAACCATTTCACGATTCTCTAAGTATCCAGAGTTGGAAAAACATCGTTCTGCCATAGAAAGGGACACAATTAATCAGCTCAAGTATCATCACATTAATCTACTGTCAGACCCCAGATTTAACATGTGAAACCACATGTCAGAGCACAGCTGTGACAGCTGCTCTGCTGATCCCACACATCCATAAGCCTCTTTTCTGCTTAGGAAAGACTTAGGACAACTTTTGACCCTGCAAAAACAAAAAATCTTATTTTTCACTTTGCACTTGCCAGTCCTTATGTTGCCTGCTTTATTTTGTGTCTAGAAACACGTGTTTGTGCCTAGAAATGTCTGGAGAGATCACACACCTATTTCAAAGCAAACAAGTAGTTTGGAGACCTCTCTAGAAACAGATACACAGCAGAAAAGCACAGACTGTGCTCTGTCAGACTTTTCACCCCCCTAGCACGGCCTGAAGTGACTTATTGATCTCTTCTGGATGAGGGGTTGGTTGTACAGGGCAGATATGCCCTGAAGAGCTTCTTTTTCCATGTGACCTGATGCACAAAATGCACAAACCATCATGGTACCAGTGGGAGAGGTAGTGCAGCAACACAGAGTGGTCAACAAGGCTGTGAAGTGAGGTACAACCACCACCCACCCCATCAGGGCTCACTGGGGGAATCTGAGCTTCACAGATGCAGGCCTGGCCAGCACCAACCAGGTGACCTCCCTCTAAAATCTCCCACAAGTCTGAGCTCAGCATTGGAGGGGAAAAAGAATAATCTCATGGATTTATTCAGAGAATAGACTCCATGGCTAAGCCACAAACACCTGGGAGCACAGAGGTGTTCCCAGCCAGCACTGCCAAAGGAAACAGAATCATGGAATGGTTTGGGTTGGAGGAACCTCAGAGACCACCTAGTTCTACCCCATAACACAGACACCTTCCACTAGCCTAGGTTGCTCCAAGTCCCATCCAGTCTGGCCCGGAATACTTCCAAGGATGGGGCAGCCACAGCTGCTCTAGGCAACGTGTGCCAGTGCCTTACCACCCTCATAGTTTCTTCCTAATATCCAATTTAAACCTGCCCTCCTACAGTTTATGGCCATTCACCCTTGTTCCATCATTCCATGCCCTTGTGAAAAGTCCCTCTTAGCCTTCTTCTAAGTCCCCATTAGGCATTGGAAGGCTGCAGAAGGCAAAGGATAAGTCTGACAAGGGGCCACTACAGGCAAAGTGGGAAGCAAGACAGCAAGAGGTCTCAAAGGACACTGCTCCAGGGCAGAGAACCCAGCCAAGCACACTCCAGAAACCCTGAGAGCTCACAGTGCCAGGAAAGGGGAGAACACACCAGATGAAGAAGTTCCCAGATAAACTCTTCTCCTTCACTATTTCTGACTAGTAACACAACATGGTATCCATGACTGAAGGGGGGGGGGGGGGGGGGGAGGAAGCATCAGAGCGCTTCACAGCAGCTCCCCCAAACACATTTGCTGCTTTCACTTCCTTCTGGCCTAACCCTGGTGCTCCCCTGAACCATGAATCTGCCCTGTCCCCTCTTCCAAGGACTGCTCCACACAGCTTCCTTCTTGTTTCCCCTGTCCCAGAGCAAGACTTGTTTGCAGAGCACAGGCACCTTGTCATGTTTACCTGCTGCTCTTTCTGAGGTGATAGCTTCCCATGTCCTCACTCACTGTGCCCAAGTACTCCCACCCAGCTCTCCCACCGATGTGCCAACCTTCCCTGGTTGTGGCTCAGGGATGGACACGACAGGATTTACACTCAGCTGACACACAAAAAACCCAGCAGGAAGAAGGAAGGTGAAGGGTACTCACACTAGCAGCTCCCTTTCCTTTCTGGGAAAGAAATTTGGGCTTGCAGGAAGCCTGTCCCTCTCCCTTGCAGCCTGAAGCAAGCTCCAGAGGTGACAGAGAGGTGACAAACAGCTAGGTTTGGTTTTGTTCCCTCCCACAGACACACCTGTGCTGGCTTGCAGCTCCCAACTGCCCTCTGACAACTGGCCCAGCAGTATTACAGAAAATAACCCATACTCTTTTCTGTCTAAGAGGACATGATCTTTAAGGTCAGGTGGTGCTTATTATGGTCAATTAAAAACCAACAATGTCCACCTGAAGATGACTGTGGAGGTAACAACATGGAAAAGCAAAGGTAACAGTTTTCTCCTTACACGCTCCTAAGGAAATTCCTCAGCATAAAGATATCCAAGGAGAAAGAATATAAAGCTGGGAAGAAAGGGATCACTCACTGTCTACAACAGACATGGCAAGAAGGTTCGAGGACAGGTTCCAGCAGAAGGAAGTTCTTAACACACCTCTGGAGTGTTCCCACAGCTTATGGTGGAGCAAAAGTGTTCACAGGAGGTCAGAAAGTAATTGACCGGTTTATGCAGGAAAAGAATCACTATGAAACAAACATCACCCTGGAGTAAAGAGTTTATCATGAGTTTCTCCTGTTCTTCCACTTCCCACAGGCACCACAGCCAGAGCTGCCTGCAGCTTGACTCAACACAGCCCAATACAGAGGATCACTTACTCCACAGAAGCTCAAGGCTTTTTTTCCTAGGGAAAAGTATTTGAAGAGGAAGCAATATCTTCAAGCAGCAAAGCAGGTGACCCAGGTCCAGCCCCAGCTCTGAGGCTGTGGCTCTCACAGGAGTCAAGCTCCAGGACTGCTCCTGCTCACCTCACTGCTCTGCTCATACAACAACAAGGAAGAGACAATTAAACAAAGGCCTGAGAAGTCCCAGTGCTCCCAGTTTATAGCAAATGCCTTCGAGGAGTTCACAAACATGATTCCAAGGCATCTCAACATCTCTTGGAACACCTGAAGTACCAACAACATCCCATGACAAGCAGAGAGTCACTACAAAGCCTCTTAGAAACCCAATCACCACCTCTTCCTTCCAGCCTCCCTGAACCCACATGCCAGATCACACCTGACCTTTCAGAGCTGCCCCACTACTCAAAACCCTGATTTCCTTCCAAAATGCTGATGAACCTGAATACAGGGGATGTGTGCAGCACTGACATCCTCCCACACAAGAGGCCAATATCAGTTTGGGGGTTTGTTCGGTTTGATTTTTAAGCCAGTCATAAATTGCTGAACCAATCACACGTTGATTGCATTAGAACAGGAAAAGCAGTCACAGATTCCAGGGATGTTTTACTGCCTCTGACCTTAAAAAGCTCTTTCAAAGCACACTGCTGCAGCCATGGAAGTATGAGGGTCACCAAGCATGACTAGTGCTCCAAACCAAGACTCACCTACCTCTAGTTAAACATGAATAAGTTACTAATCACAAGTCCTCCCATCATAGACCTGAAGAGACCAAAAGTTTAGCCTGATGTTCACAATATTATTTAATACAGGAGCATTTCGACCTGGCAA